CCTTATGCTTATGCGTTATGCTTTATGTAAAAGCTTGTGCTCTCGGCTTAAGACGACGACCGGAGAATTACAAGACGCCATCTTTTGACTGTTACGAAAATCTCTACACGCTATTTCGAAACGCAGAGCGCGAGAGAAAAGAGTGACAGAATCCGTAACACACCGCAATTTAATCGTGTAGTTTATCCGTCAAAAACGTATGACGGATACGATTATTTGTCGGGAGTGCCGATTAAAGTGACGAGCGATTGTCGAAATATATTATTTTCCGCGAATGTGCACGACGATGTTTCGTCGATCTAGATTGAAACCGGTACAATGCAAGTGAATTTCAATAGTATAAACTGTCTCTGTGTTCTGTGTGCCATAAACAATTTGCATGCTATTCATTGAATGCAGCATATGGCATGTTGATTATTTAGCTCATTAGAATTAAATCTCATGAAACATAATTATGTGAGCATGCCTAATGACTTCAATATAGATTGGACTAAGTCTCGCTTTCTCTGAATTCATGCACAATACATAGGTTATATGTTCGCTTTGCGACATGAAAATTTGCAATGTAAATCTGTGATTTTCATATAATTGAAATACGCAAATTGATTTTCTTTTGATAGTGCGTTTAATTAATAATGGAAATATATATAATTTTTTATAAAATAATAGTAACATATTTTATCTAGTCTAGTACTGAGCTAATTCTTTTTATCATTTGCGCTCTGCATTTCAAATGTGTATCTAGAAATTTTTATGATAACCGATGGATAGCGCGCATAGTATCTAATTTATTTCAAAATTTAACACTGCGTTACGATCGCTATTCTTTGACCGCCATAAAAGTTTTATACTTCCTCGGTTCGAAACGCAGAGAATAATTTTTCACGATTTATCACGTACTTTATGGTTAAAAGTATAAGTATACTGAATACGAATTTTTGTCGGAAGTGTCGATCACAATGACGGACGATTATCGAAATGTATTATTTTTCGTAAGTGTTCGCGTTTAACGGATTTCGCCAATCTATTAATTGAAACCGGTACAATTCAGATGGGTGTAGATTTTAATACCATAAGTTTTGTATGTGTCGCATAAACACTATATTATTCATTAAATGCAACGTATTGTATATTGCATGTTGAAAATATACTAAGATAGCCAAATGTTAACAATATTAACAGATTAACAGCAAATTTGATCAAATTTACTGTCAGTTAACTGATATTGCATATAAGATTTTGCTTACTGGATAGTTTGTCGAAATAAAATTTGGCAAAATATAGTTATGGTGTGCATGTCTATATCTAATAACATGGACGTATCTTCAAGTCGTCATTTTTCTTATTCGCTCTGAATGCATATACAATGTAGATTACAATTAGTGCGTGGACACACGCTAGTGTGGTGATTTATCTCGTGTTTGTGTTTCGTGTATTGCAACGTGAATCTATGATTTTTGCATAATTGGAATACACTAGTTAAGTTTTGTTTGGTAGTGCGTGTAACTAACAATAAGTGCAGTGGTTTCCAGTGTCAATTCTTTGATCGAGCTGATGTGATGCGATTTATGACGGAATCTGCAGCGAGACGAGCAGCAAACTGCAATACTTTAGCTGGTAACTATAGTTATTTATACATATAATATATTTATTTAAGTATTTATTAAATATTTAATTAAATTTTGAAATAATTATTTATTCAATTTATTCCACATAGTTATATTTTAATCAAAATGAAAATAATTAAATGATGATAATTAACACAATGAAATAAATGATAATTTATAATAAGTAAAAGGTATATTAATTTTTCAGGTACAGCTGAAAGCGTATGTAGCTAAAGTACAACGACCGGTGAGTCTCTATGTAAATTACTAAATATAACAAATTAGACAAAAAATATTAATATTATCCGTTGTATTTTCATATGTCATTTTTTGTATAATTGCTAAAGATCACATTTTGACTATCACATTTTCGTCTATGTTTTACAAATAAACAAAAATATAAAATTACTTTCTCTTTATTTTAACAATTAACAGCAAAAAAAGTTTTAATACAATTCAGAAAAAATGTTTAGTTTTAGCCAAATTATGTATGCAATTTATTAAATTAAAAAATTAAAAATATTTGGAAATATAAATTATAAATTATATATCTAGAAAAAAAATTTTATATTAATTTAAATTTTAAAAAAATTTAATTTTTTCTAATTTAATTTCAAAACAAAAATTTTTTAAATACATATTTTAGATAATATAATATTTAAGTTAATTTTATTGTACATATATGTACGTTTTTTATTTATCTTATTAACAATTTGATTGTTTAATATTTTTGTAAAAAAGTTAATTGTTAAAGTACAGTTTTAGATATGTGATTGCAATGAAAAAATCGTGGTTACTAATACAATTGCTTGTACAGCAATTAATATAATCAGCACGATTTGCGAAAAGAGTCTTTTTTGTACAATAACTCAAAAATATCTCGATACATTATATTTTTTTCTTATCACAGAAATATCTCGATACATTATATTTCTTTCTTATCACAGTTTCATCAGTAAAATATCATGTGTGTCGAATTTATTACAAGAATTTGTCTCAGTGTTTATCTTTTATTTAAAAGTTTCTTTTTCCATTAAGATATATGAATAAACATATGTTACGCTTTCTTCTTATTCTTCATAGCTGCTTTTTGTTCTTTGCGCTTTTTCTTCTCTGATTGACGTTGTTCTCGGTCCCATGCACGTCGGTATAAATTGCGAGCGACAATAGCTGTAAAAGAGCAATACAATTACAATAATCTATTCTACAAAAACAATATAAAAAAAACCTCTTATCTCAAAAATGGCTTTACTTTCACCGACTTGCATTTACTCCCATATGGCAAATATTGAATTAATAGTTAATTCGATGTAATACGTTCTTGATAATTCGTGTTTATGCAAATTATCAAATCTTTGAGAATATATCACAAGTTTTACAACGAATTGATAATTATAAGATATCACGTTAAAAAATTCAAAAACATTCGACGTTATACATATTATATTTATATAATTTGCATCCAACTTTTGAATTTTTTTTATTATTAATGTGTTATTATTGGCAATAAAAACATTTATAACATTGTCAAAACTGACAGATTATTTCAATATGCAAAAATTGTCATACCGAGCAGAAAAGCCACAATTGACACCGCGAACATGAATAGGATGTAAGATTGATACGGCGCAAGCCACGTGGGTAAAATCGAGATTCTATTTTTATTCAGAGACTTTAGCAATACATCCATAGCGCCGTTTTGGAAGTCTTGCTTTTCCTCGTCGGTCAACTGTAGATATTTTTCAAGCATGCTCGACAATTTTTTCTGCACATCTTCCGGCAATTGGTTATTATTATTTTCCAACGTATCCAAAATGTTGTCTTCCATATTGAATATGTCGCACAAGACAGCACGAGAATTTGACTCCAAAATCAGCAGAAGTTAAGATCCGCACGGGTTTAGGTCAAAAGTTGGACTGATTAAATGTGAACGATCAGATGCGGTAGTCGAGTGGTCTCGATTAGATAACGTTGAAAATACGTTGTGGTGTGATGTAAGTTCCATCGACGAAGCAATTTCGTTAAGCACTTCGCCAGTTATGCACACTCGACAAAAAAAAGAACATACTACCTCGCGAAATTGTAAATGAAAGATGATATAATTCTTGTAAACTTGACAAAAATATCGCCTGACTGAGTTCTATAAAGACAAGTTATCAAGGACGTATTACAGTTTAATTAATCATTGATTAATCATTGGTTATTATTGATTCAATATGTGCAGTACAGGAGTACCAATATAAGTTGATAAAAATAATATAGTGTTTGAGATTACGTTTGGCTAAACTGAATAAATGTTTTTAATGCTTCGATTGCAATGAAGAAACTAAACAAATGGTGAGCCAGGGCCGCATTTATACTTTTGGAGGCCCTAGGCGCAACATCATTATGAGGCCTTAAAAGAACAAGTCTATTTCAGTTAATCAAATTCATACGCATTTTTTTAAAGTGTTTATTGAAAATAAAAGTCGACATGCATTACATGATGCAAAAAGGCGAAATTTAATAAACAATTACCGCTTACGAATTTTTCAGCGGCCTCTAGTTTTTATATTATGAATTTAATATTTAAAAGTAACTATTTTATTTTGCAACTATAACTAGGCTGTTTTTTATTGTCATTAGTGAGGAGTAAGATTTCAAAATGAGGCCCCAGCTTGCGCCTAATGCGCCTTATGGTAAATGCGGCCGTGATAACTCAAGATATTTTTAACGGTTTTAATTCTATTAATATGTATATTATTATATTTTTTATAATAGCAAGCAAGGTACACACCTTGCAAGTTTTTTTGCGCAAAAATATAAATAGATGTGATGCAAGCTTGACAACTTAGTGATTAATTTCTCAATATTTTTGTCTATATTTATTGGGCACAATTAAGACTGTGTGTCTTTTTGAAAAGAAAATTAATACATTTTCTCAGTAACGCTAATAACATATATAATTTTCTTGTTGTTTAATTTTAAACGATATTCGAACTTTGTATTGGCTATTCTTGCACGATTGCAGTTTTACAAAATGTATTGAAACTTTTTGATTTCCTTAACTCAAGCCTTTAACTGAAGATATTTTTGCACGCTTTTTATACTTTATCATTAAGTTTATGTATTTTTATTTTTAACACGCATGTTTCGTAAAAATAAAATATTAATATACGTTTAATCGACATATTTTTAAGGCGTAATATTAAGTGCAATATTTTTCATGAAATTAAAATACATATGATATCGTTTTGTGACATGAAGAATATATTTCTTAGAAAACAGTAATGGTTTTATTATTCTAATTTTTGCACTTTAACAAAGCCAAGTGTGCTAATAGAGTATATTAATAAATTTTTTTTTACATATAAGTATGTTTACATAACATTTATTTATGTTTACAGGTTTTTTTATCATGTTTTTCTCTCTCTCTCTCTTTCTCTCTCTCTCTCTTTTTTCTTTCTCCTCTTTTTGTCTTTTCTTATTGCAATATATTTTTATAGGAAAAAATGTTTTGTTGTTGTCATTTTTTATATATTTATTCAAGAAATTATTAAATATTGTCGTTGGTAATACATACAGTTGGACATATAATTAAGCTATACAAGATTGTTTATGATTTACACAACATAGATAAAGTATTAATAGACGAAAATGACTTTTTTGATACATTATCTCTATATTGCCGTCTTGATACTCTTAGAAATTTTTCTGTTGAAATATTAAAATAAAAACGCGCCGCAATGCATAACAAGATAAACTCTTTTATTCGCTATCATAAAAAAATTTTTTTTTAATTAAATAATAATTCTTTCTAATTCACAAATTATATGTCAATCCTGCAATATAGATATCGTTTACTTCGACGGATTCCAATTTTATGTAACGTTTGGCAAAAGCGCGTATGATTTTCCCCACATCAACATACGAAATAATAAACATCATTGACTTTATGTATAGCAGCTTGGACGTATGTAACAGAGCAACCGTCACATGAAACATATAACCACGTTTGACAATTCGCATTTTTATCGTTCACAAACCGCTTTCAACATAAGAGAAGGAACGAGGTAATATTCACCGTACGTTTAATTCAGAATTATTTTTATTGCATAAAATAATAAATTTATAGGAGTTAAATTAATTTCAACATACATTTTATAACATTTTCTATATCATTGAGACACACACACACACATTTATACTTTGTAGATCTTTTTCATTTTGAAAACACATATTAAAGTAATATTTTCTTTACGATTCTTTTGAGATTATGAATAGACCAGGTAGAAATGTACATAAATTATTTATATGTCAAAAATAATAGAATTTCTTTAAGCAAAATTCAGAGTACATAACTTTGTTCGATCAAATAATATCTATAACTACACTTTCCAGAATGATTGTTCTAGTATAACACAACACTTGATATTTAAAAATGCATATAATATCCAACCCATTTCAATTTTGAATTGCATTAGATTTTTACAATAATGCGAAATGCAAAAGGTATTTTTCAGAAAACATCAAGTAAAATAAAATTTCATATAGTTTTAAAGAAGAAAAAAATAAGAATGATGGTTGCAAGAGAATCTTTGAACTATGCTTTGTACTATCCTTTGACAATACATACACCTTTTCGGAATCTAGTACATGTAACTTTACATGAATGTAAGTTTAATTTCTTGCCAAAAGAGTTCGGTACATTACATCATCTACAAGAGATTACATTATCCAGTAATTATGTCGTGAATACTACTCAATCTGCATGGGAATGGTTAGAGCATGATTCTATGAGAAATAATTTGAAATCATTGAAAATAATGCATTATGACGTAAGTTATACTATCTACTTACTCAGATATTATGAGATTAACTACTAATTAACAGAATAAAGTTTTTATTTAAAAAATGAAAAAGTTACTTTACGTTTCCACCATTTATCGTTATGTTTTTGATTTATTTTGTTATTTATAGCTACCTGAATTACCTTTACAAATCACATGTTTGAAAAATCTCACAAAATTATATATGACATGTTTGAGAATTAGTTCTTTCCTAAAAAGAGTTTGGTAATTTGCCTCTTTTGGATCTTGATTTATCATATAATAATCTTGGAAGATCTAAACAATCTGCATGGGAATGGTTAATGCAAGCTCCCATTAGAAATAATTTAAAAAGACTTGACATAAGTCATAATTATGTAAGTTGTAATATCAAATTACTAAAATATCATGATATTACCTAACAAAAATAAAATTATTCTTAAAAAATTTTCTTAAAAATGAAACATTTAAATTGCATATACTTTTTATTGACAACGCATAAAAAGTCAACCATTATATTAATAAACTGATTTTATTTGTACACGCAGAAAATTTTATATCAAAAATTACTCTGTACGGCAATAACCGCGGATCGAAAATTACTCCTATGTTTCACATGTAAAAAACATAGTAAAATCTTTTATAATTTCTTCATGATCCGCGGCTACTACCGTACATAGTAATTTTTAATATAAAATTTTCTCCGTATAGATCACTAAATTTCCATTACAAATTACGTGTTTAAAAAATCTACAATTGTTAGACGTAAGAAGAAACAAAATTGATTTTTTACCAAAAGAGTTAGGTACTTTGCCGAATCTTATGTATCTTAATCTTTCTTCTAATCACCTTGGAAAGTCTAATCGCAAAGCGTGGGAATGGCTAGAGCAAACTGAAGTCAGAAATAAATTGTCAGATTTATGTCTGTCGGACAATCTGGTAAGACTTGCACTATTTATTTATCAAAACATCATAAAAAGAACCAAAATTATTATAAGAAAATAAAAAGATTAGTTTATATTTATGATCTACTAATAAATTATAAAATTATTAATTATTTCTAGTTAACGGAATTACCACCACAAATTGGAAAACTAAATGCTTTAACTATTTTATTACTTACTAACAATAAGTTAAAATGTTTACCACAAAGTCTCGCAAATCTAAGAAATTTAATATTTCTTGATTTGTTGGACAATAAGTTGTTATATTTACCAGGAAATATAGCACATTTATCGGCGACTATAAGTGTTGATGGGAATCCATTTAATTTAATAATAATTGGTGATAATGATGACGATAGTAATGATGATAGTGATGATGATAGTGGTGATGATTTTACTGCGTATTTGGAAGTGCCAAGTCTTGTGGATTGTTCAGCTGAAGTTATTCTGGAAAATGGGTTTGTTGCTATTTTTTTTTTTGATGTTTTTAATTATATTTAACTTGACTCTTGAAAAATACTGTGTAAATCAAAATTATTTCAATATTTTTAATAATTTTGTCGATTATAGATTGGATTATACAAATGATGAATTATCTGAAGAAATGGTCAAATATATGGATAATAAAAGACATTGCTTTATTTGTAATAATCCATGTTTTCGTTATTATGATAAGTTTTTTGTAAATTATCTTAATTATTGTTTCATATGGGGTTTTCAATTAAATGCATCTCGAAATATCATGAATGCAAGTTTTGAATGTTATGTTTGTTCATCAAATTGTGCTGAAAGGTTAAGGTTATTCTAAATTATAGAATTAAGAATACATGATTAAATTATTAGACTTACAATTTACAACAGAATGTAACTTGTATAAAAATATCTGATATGACCGATTTTAAAACTTTTGAATTTTATACATTCTTTGACGAGTATACATATAATTTATCGATAATTGTCGATATTATTATTTTTGTATATATTTTAAAACACAAAATTATGTATATATTTAGTAATACGATATATTATCACTACCACAAATAGATTCGTACTTGCAAATTTTTAATCAAATCAAGAATGTTTAAAAGTCAAAAATCTTAAAACATCCTGCAAACTGTTTTTATTGAAAATTTTGAAAAATCTTTATAGCTTTAAAGTATTGAATTTGTATACATATGTTTGTATGTGTGTGTATATATACATATACATATGTGTGTGTATGTATATTGTATATATACATGTGTCTGTGGTATGTATATGTGTTAAATTATGTAAAATATGTCACACATTTATACCACTCAAGGCATTCCAGACACATTGAGGCTATCAAAATTTTTAAGATTTTCAAAATTTTTTTATTATAACAGTCTTACAAAATGTATTTGAACCTTTTTGATTTTCTTGACTCAAGCCTTTAACTCAAGATATTTTTGCACGATTTTTATGCTTCACTAAGTATATGTATCTTTCT